AGATTGGTGCTTCAAGATACAGTCTGGGTGAGTCTGGCTCTTGGTTCTGGGTTGAGCCCTGGTTTGCTCTTGTGTGTTCATTCTGCAGTCCCAGGCTGAAGGGCAGTAGCTATGCAGGGGAATATTTTTAATGGAGGTGGAGAAAGCCCTAAAAGGAAGTGGAATCATGCAGGAACTCTTAAAGCTGAGGATCGAAATAGACATACTACCACTTCTACTCTATTTCATTCAAACCTAATGTCAGCAGGTGGGAAAATATACTCCACCTGAGTTGTGGCAAGAATATGGATGCAAAATACTACACAGGGAAGTGAAGAATTGTGGACAGTAAGTCAACCCACTGTGTCCTCCAAACCGGAATGATACTTCCTCACTTCCCTAGGAGGGATACATGAGCCATCCCTTCTAGAACTTTAAAAAACTCCCTAATAGCAGAGACTGCTGACTGTTCACCCAAAATCACTTTTCTACCCTTCCAGGATTCACAGCTAGAGCATAATTCCCACCCTCCTTTGTTGTTAAGTGTGACCTTGTGACTGGTTTTGGCCAGTGGTATGTGAGTAGAACTAAAGTTCATTTTCAAGGTAGGGCTTTCTTCTGCTGTTGGCTTTGTGCAGATGACTACAAGACCCTGATGGTTGCTAAAGACAGACGTTGGAGTGAGCCTAGATCTCTGAATCACAATGTGGAGGAAAGCCATTATGATATGGGAATACCTCTTTAATGTGTAGGTAAGATATGAATTTCTGTTATGTTTGAACCACTGTATTCTTGGGTCTCTTTTTTTTATAGAAGCCAGCATTACTTATAACAATGCACTTCCTGCAGCCCTTCTTTGCCACTCTGATGTCTCCCTGTGGTGGTGGCTATGGGAGTGCTTTGTAAACTATAAAGTACTCCACACATGTGAAGCATGTGATCAGTGCTTTACTAATGTTTCAACACAAAGCAGAGTCTAAATCAGTTGTATGGATGTAGCAGAGACTGATGCTTATAACTACTGACATCTGGAGGGGGCCTGATGGCTTGGACACCAATTTTTATATCCCTTATTCTTTTTAATCCTTACACAACCCTGAGTGACAGGCTCTTAGATTGACCCCTGTTTTAAGGGCGACAAAAGAGAGTTTGCCAAAGTTGCTTCAGGCCTTACAGCTAGCTGTTCAGGTGCCTAAGCCTGACCTCCTTTTCCTCGCTGTTCTGGGAGGAAATGATGAAGTACCTTCTTAGCTCCAATCCACTTTGCACCAATCAGGCTCCAAAGACCCCCTTGGTGTGTGTGGGGGAGATAGTAAAACAGGTTGTACCCAAGGCTGCTGGTGGTGGTTGTATGATTTGTAAGGAACATTTAAAATTCCAGACCTTAATCACAACTATATACCCCAGAAATCCATTCTCAAAGACAAGAGAGAGGTATTCTTTGGGCCTTCTACTTTGTGGTGGATTATCTGTAGCGTGGTTACCAAGGAACCCTTCCATTCCTGTGTGCTCATTTGCTATGGTTGAATTATGTCTCCCCCATAGATATATTGGGCATGTTGGAGTTCTAATCCCCTGTACCTCAGGACATGATCTTATCTGGAGACAGTATCTTTATAGAGGTAATCAAGTAAAAATGAAGTTATTAGGATGTGTCCTAATTCACTGGTGTCCTTGTAAGGAGGGGAAAGTTGGACACAGAATAGGGACAGGCACATCATGGGAACTTGTGTGAAGATAAAGGAATGAGGACAGAATTTTGGGTGGTGGATGTATAAGCCACAGAGCACCAGAGATTGCCAGTAAAACACAAGAAACCAGGGGACAGCAATGGAACAGATTCTCCCTAGTTGAAGGAACCAACCCTGCTGACACCTTGACTTTGGACTTCTGGCCTCCCGAACTGTGAGACAATGAATTTCTGTTGAGTAAGCCATCTACTCTGTAGGACTTCATTGTGGCAGTCCTAGCAAATACAACACTTGCACTCTTTCTATCAAGATGTGGAGTCCAGGGGTGCCTGGGTGGCTCAGTTGGTTAAGCATCTGCCTTTGGCTCAGGTCATGATCTTGGGGTCCTGGGATCAAGTCCCGCTGCATTGGGCTCCCTGCTCAGTGGAGAGTCGGCTTCTCCCTTTTCCTCTGCCCCCTACCCTCCGGTCGTGCTATCTCAAGTAAATAAAGAAAATCTTAAAAAAAAAAAAAAAAGAGGCGGAGTCCATTTATTCTCCCCTTGAGTCTGGGCTGACTTTGTGACTTTCCTTAGCCAATAAAATGTGGTAGAAATAATGAAATGGCACTTCTAGGCCTAGGTCTTCAGATGCCTGGCAGCTTCTATTTCACCTCAGAGAAAAGCCAGGGTGCCATGTTGTAAGGAAGCCCAGGTTATCCTGAAGGAGAGGTCTCATGGAGAGAGAAACCATTTGGGTTGTTCTAGACCCAGTTAAGCTTCCAAATGATGTCCTTAATCAACAAAACATGCAACAGAAGAACTGTCTCGCTGAGCCCAGTCAACCTAAAAAGTTGAGAAATAAGAAATCGTTGTTTTAAGACACTAAGTTTCAAGGGTGGTTTGTTATGGAGCAATAGCAACTGAAACATACTCTGGCAGGTCTTCTGGCACCTCTGCCACAGTTATCCCTACAGCCAGATGTCTCCAGTGCCTCCTGAACGGATTCTGGGTGACGCCTGTCACATAAAAATCTTCAGCAGTGCATCTGGTTGCAGGGCCTGGGTGATGCCAGCACCCCCGCTGCAGAGGAGGCTGGGAAAGAGCATTTTTTGGCTTTGGAGGAGAATCTGTGACATGGAAAGTTCCCCAAACACAGAAGGATGTTCAAAAGGTACTGGACACCTCTGAAATATGATGAAGGCTCTCAACGATGGCCAAATGTTTTTTGGTGAACTCTGTGTGTTTGGCACACAGTGCTGGGCCCATCCACCTTCTAATTGTAAACAGTGCCCTGACATCACCCTCCCTCACTCCGCATCCCTGTGGTTTGGAATGGACCAACTCCAGGGCTGGGCATGTGATTCAGGCCCAAACAATGATATGTGACCCAAGCAGAGCCAACTTGGTGTAACCTTGGCTTTTTGCTGGGACAGCTGAAAGAAATGAGGACTTGAGCCGAGAGGGTGGAACTGAGAGTTGCTGGCAGCCATCTTGCCGCAGCAAGGAACAGAGGAAGACCGAGTCTTGATATTTTTGAAGCCTCTTGGTACCTGGATCAGGATGACCATTGGCATCCTCCTTTATGTGAGTATATACACGTCCTCTTTGCTTATACCAAGCCAATCTGAGTAGGTTTCCATTATTTGCCAAGTCCATATTAACATTCTTATTTAATACAATACAATCACTCTTCAGAGTAATTTATATAATTTAATTTAATATAGTCACTCTTTGGAGTAGGTATTATTTATTGATCCTGTTTTACAGATGAGGAAACTGAAGCAGAGGGAGGCAAAATTCAAATCCAGGGTATCTAATTCTGAGAGCCCACTCAGAAACATTCTGCTTCCTGGGTGACAGGGAAAGATTCACAGAGGAAGGTGTGACCTTTAACTTGACCTTTAACTCCAAGGGGACACAGAGGTTGGTTGGGAGGGGGCAGAAAGGTTTTCTAGGTGAGGGGACTAGCTTGGGCAATGACAAGGACTTTTCTGCTGAGAAGAAACTTCATCTAAAATTCATTGTGTCCCTGCCCTGAAGCTTGTGCTCACATGGGTCCCTCCTGCAGGGAGGCATCAAACCCCATTACTGTAGGGACACCTCTGCTCTGCTGGCCCCCACCCATGCAGACCTATGCTGTGCAACGGGGCCTGGTGGGTCCCCTGTAGGGTCTAGGTTAGGTGAGGCACCCTCCTCAGCCTGAAAGACAGTTTAAGGCAGGGGCCTGGCTTCTACCCAAGGCTTCTACCCCTTGGACTGGGTCTCTGTCAGCTCCTGGAGGCCCTGGAGATGCTCACAGAGTTAAACAGAATGAAATGGTACCAAACCAAGTGACCTGGCCCCTTAAAAAAGCACAAATGAAAAACTGTACAAGGGACCAGAGCAGTGCCTGCAAAATCTCAAATAGCCAATAAATATAATTTCCAAATAACTATGATTTTTATTTTTATTTTTAAAAAGATTTTATTTATTCATGAGAGACACACAGAGAGAAGCAGAGACATAGGCAGAGGGAGAAGCAGTCTCCCCATGGGGAGCGGGGGATCACGACTTAAGCCAAAGGCAGATGCTCAACTACTGAGCCACCCAGGTGCCCCAATAACTATGATTTTTAAAAGAGAATGAAAAGTGACCCTCACAGCTATTTGCTTCGATTTTTATTAAATCAAGGATGAGGCAGTGGGTACCACTGAAGGCTATTTTCTTAAAGAGGCCACTTCTGCTTAGTGGGCTGCGAAGGGACGGGCTGCGGCAATTTGAGTGCCCCCCTGCCCCACCCTCTACTGTGTAGGGTTGGAGACTGAGGCGCAGAGGTCTCAGAGGCGTGGTGGACTGGGGGCAGGTGGCAGTGGCAGTGGAGGCACCGGTGTTGGGGAGAAAAAAATTAGTGGGCGCCCCGGGGATGAATCCGCTGATCCCTAACTGAGATCCAGGGTAGGGTCTGCGCGAGTGAAGGCAGCTCCCGGAGGGGGTGGGGCTTCCCTCCAAAAGCAGGGTTCTGGATTCCGCGCGGGTAAACTGAGGCCCGCGTCCTGGCTCTGCGCGTCTCCCCGCGGGCAGCCGTGGCCTGAAGTACGCCCGGCCCAGGGCGGGCAGGGCCGGGCCAGCTACTTTTCCTTTGGAGCGTTGTGCGGACGCTCGGCGCCCGGCTGGAGGAGGCGGTGTGGGGCCCAGGTGCGGAGGGCTGGGCCGGGGGCTTCCGGGGCGGGGGCCCGGCCGTCCCCGGCTCCGGCCGCCCGGGTTCCCCGCCCCTGGCGGGCCGGGCCGGGGAGGAGCTGGGCGCGTCCCCGCCCCGAGGCGGAGCGGGGGGCCGGGCCGGGCGGACCCGGCGGGGTGGGCCGGGGACGCGAGGCGGAGCGGGGCCCCACACAGGCCGCGGCGGCTGGCTCCGGCCCCTACGGTCCCGGCGGCGGCTGGAGGAGGAAGCCAGGCGGCTGGAGGAGGAGGGGAGGCGGAGGAGGCCGAGGCTGGAGCGCCGCTCGCCGCACACTCACTTCCCCGGCTCAGCAGGGAAAGGTACCGCGCGCCCCGCGCCCGCGCCCCGGCCCCCGGCCCCCGGTCGGGAGCCCCCAGCCCTCGCCGGCGCGGGGTGGGGGTGCGGCCGCCCGCGGGAGGGTGAGGGGCTCCGGCGGCCCGGGGCTGCGGCAGCCTGCGCGGCGCTCGGGCTGGGGTGCGCGGAGGTGCCCGGGGCTCGCCGACATCTGTGGGCGCCGCGCCCCCCTCGCTCGCGTCGGCGGCGTCCCGGGAAGCGGTGGTCCGGCCGGGTGGGGTGATCTCGGGGCCGGGGCTGCGCCGGCCGAGCCAGCGCACGCGGGGGGAGGGGAGGGCAAGCCGGACCCCCGAGCCGCGTGCTGCCGGGGAGCGCCCGGGGCGCCCGGCGGGCGCGCTCGGCGGGCGCAGACAAAGCCGGGAGCCGGCGCCCCGCGGGGACTCGGGCGGTCCAGGGGGTGGGCGCCGGGGAGGGAAGAGAAGGCTCCGGGGCTACAGCCGGGGCGCGGGGAGAGGCTGGGCCGCCTTCCCTCCGGCTGTCCGGGTGGTCTGGGGTGGGGGGGCGGGGGTGGAGAGCAGCTCTCTCCCAAGGGCCAACTGGGGAGCCAGGCTAGGAAAGGGGTAGGGTGTACTGACTGCTCCTTTGGGGGAGGAGCTGGAGAGGCCACCGCCTCGGGCTTGGGGGCGGGGGCTCTGGTGGGGCAGGTGAGGGACCGCCTCAGAGCTAGCACTAGGAAGGGGCACAGCCCCGATGAGGTGAGTGCAGTGGCTGGCAAGAATGGTGAGATGTACCCACGGGTTGTTTGCAGAACCTGCTGCTGGTGACACATTCTGTGCCACGGGGGCAACTTGGTGTTTGGAGCAAGAGGCAGAAAACAGCAGGTGCCCCAGGGGTCGTTGGAGTAAGCCTGAATGGGGAGTTGGGGAGGTGTGCATCTGGAAGCATGTCCAGTGAAGGCCCGCATTTGTAATCTGCCGCCTCTGCTCCCCTTCCTTCTTGTGAGGGGGGAGGAAGCATCTCAGTTCCTGCCACAGGCCCATACCTCCACTTGGGCTCCAAGGTGCTCCCTGTCCCACATTCTTGAATTACTTCCCCTCTCTCCAGTGCTAGACGTGGCTTCTTTTTTTTTCCTGGATCATTCACAACAGGATAAGAACATGCCTGGACACCCTCCTTCCCTCATTTATAGCTTTCTGTTTTGCCTTCATCCTTCATTCTCCCTCGGTGTGCAGAACGACTTCACTTCTCTTCACAGCAGAACTTCTCCAAAGAGCTGTCTGCACCTGCTCTTCTGGTGCACATTCCTTTGCTTTGGTCCTACCACTTCCCTGAAACCGCCCCAGTCAAGGTCTCTGGGGATTTCCACGCCCCCACAAGCAGGTCTTCCTTGACCCCTTGGTCTTGTTGATTTTCTCTCCTTTAGAATCAATATTCTCTCTGTACTTCTGGTTTTCTTCTTCCCTCCCTGGCTAGCCCTTCCTTAGATCTTTGGGGATAACTCCTTTACTCAGCTCTAAATGTTGGAGGATCCCAGAGCTTTGTCCTCAGCCCCTCCTCTCTCCTGACTCCACTCTAATTACCTGTCCTCCCAGCTCTCATTCTCTGTTATATTTTTAAAAATCAAGCATTAATTTACAAACACACTGATCTTAAGTGTACATCATTTTCCTTCTTGTGATTTTAAGTAGCAAGTTTTGTCACCAGCCCCAGCTTCTCTATCTAGCCACCCACCTGATGATGATTTAGGGTTCCCTGGATGTCTTGTAGGTACGAGAACTTCATATGGATGACACAGAACCCTGACTGCACTCACCAGATATGACCCTCCATGGGCCTTTCCATCTCTCTAAACAGCTCATAACCTACCCACCTTTAAAGACAGGAACAGGTGGCACCAGCTCCTCCCTCTGCTTCTCTCCCCATACCCAGTCCAACAGCATGTCCTTTGGGCTTTTTCTGCAAAATCTCAGGCCTGTTCTTCATGCTCTGACTCCACTGCTATGGCCCCAGGCTACTGCCCCAGGCCATGCCACCTTTTCTGTCTTGCCCAAATGCTGTAGTAGCTACTATCTGCTTTCCCAAAATTCCCACTTGCCCACCTCTAATCTATTGTAAGAGAGCAGCAAGAATGATTTAGAAATATAGTGATTAGATAATATTTCTCTAAAACTCTTAACGCTCCCTATTGCACTTGGAATAAACTTTCAGAACTTTCCTGTCAGACCTATCAGACCCTCCATGATCTGGCCACTGCTGACCTCCTGCAGCCTTCTCCTAACTACTGTCCCCTTTGCATTCTTCCTAATAGCTACATCTGAATCACTTCTGCCCCTTGAGCTTTTTCCTGCCCAGGGCCTTTGCTTGTTCTGTTTTCTCTGCCCGGAATGTTCTTTTAGGGTTTTCTACTGGGCTGGCTCTGCTCCCTCTTAATTTTAAGGTTTCAACTTAAATATGTCTTCCCCATCTTGGTAGAGGTCCCCTCACCACTGCCGTGTAATTCGTCATAGCACCTGGTTTCCATTCTTCGTTATATTTATCACCATCCCTAACCATTTGTTGCAGTTGTCTCTTTACTTTTTCTGGCTTCTCAAGGGCTGGACCTTAACTGAATGCCCTGCTGCTGTATCTGGAGCGTCTAGCACAATCCCTGGCATGTAACTGGCTCTCAGGAAGTCCTGAGCCAGGTGGGAAGGTCAGGGCTGGGTTAGGCAGAAAGACGTGGGTACTGCGGTCAGTGCAAGAGCCTACTTTAACCCTTAGATGACCTGAGAGTTTTAATTTTCCTTCCACAAAAGAAGTTGTGCAGATTGCTGTAAAATTGAGAAGGGCTGGTGGGATATGAAACAGGAAAGTGAGAAAGGTACAAGCAGCTCAAGAGCAGGTTTGCATGCCCAGGGGGAGATCGGGCAGGTCTGGGGGAATGTAGCGTTGGTGGAGGTTGTGGTGGGTTGGGCACCAATGATTTCTTTTGCTCTCTTTGGTGGAAATCCAGGCTAGGTCAACAGAGGGCCGTGTGTGTGTGTGTGTGTGTGTGTGTGTGTGTGTGTGTGTGTGTTATCTAAATCAGGAGATAGGGGTGGTCTGGGCAGCAAGAGATTTGTTTCAGGCCTACTCCCTGGGTGCCTGCTGGGTGCCCAGCCCTGGGAGCAGGGAGTTGAAGGGGAGGAAGAAGCTGGGGCCAGGGGTCTTTCTATAGACCCTTGTCTCTCCACCCACAGCTCTCCTCTTTGTACAAAGGAGTCAGCTGAGAATTAAATTGTGTGGCTAATGCTCTCCAAATGGAGAGCTGAGAGCCAAGGGACCTCAGCTCTGGGAGGGTCCTGGGTAGAGGGACTGGTGATGTACCAAGGGGATGCTCTGAGAGGAGCGCTGGAACTAGGAGCTGGAGCTGAGATAGGTGAGAGCAAGGGGAATATCCTGGGCTGGAGAAATCAAGCAGAGCACAAGAAGCTGGGCCAGGGCCTGGTATACTCATGGGGTGCCATGCATTGTAAAGACTTTGCAAACATTAATTCCTTTAATCCTCTTAACAAATACCCTATAAGGTAGGTCTTATTCCCATTTTACAGATGAGGAGACTGAGGCACAGTCATAAAACTCAGTAGTGACAGAGTGAGGATTTGAACCCAGGGAACCTGACTCTGGAATCCGTGCCTTAACCCACTCCGCTCTGCCACTTCTCCTATGCCACTCAGATCTGCAACAGCTGAAGACTTCTTTACACACAAGGGTTTTTTCTTGACTCCCAGAGATGCCTGACTTTGGGGGCTGGGGAGGTAGGAAAGAAGTCATAATTTCTAAGGCAGAAGGGGTCCTCACCTGAGTGGGCAGCTGAGGTTCTTTGCTTCATGCGCATTTTTTCTAGGAGGGGCTCCAGGTCCAGGCCAAATAGTTGGGCATCAGGTATACTGTGATTTTGGGGTGCTGGGGAAGCTGGTACAAAAACAGCTCCCTGCTTGGGATGCCATTGGACTGTCACCCCTTGGGACATGTGGGTGGCTCAGTGGTTGAGTGTTTGCCTTCGACTCAGGTTGTGATCCCAGGGTTCTGGGATAGAGTCCCTGCATCGGGCTCCCCACAGGGAGCCTGCTTCTCCCTCTGCCTATGTTTCTGCCTCTCTCTCTTTCATGAATAAACAAATAAAATCTTAAAAAGAAAAAGATTGTCACCCCTCTGGATTTAGCATTGCCCATTTCCCTCTTCATCTGCTTCTGGAGAACTCAGGAGGTCAGATAGGGGCTCTGCAGATAAGCTGTCTATTTTGGATTACTTCTAGAATGTTGTGAGGTGGAGCTTCAGACTTGGCCTTGGGGAGTGCAGATGGAAGTTTGAGCAGAGCTAGGGTAACAGAGAAATGAGACCTGAATAGAGCTTAATCCACATCTCTATTGGTTTTGTCCTTACCTCTTCTTGTCTGTCTGTAAAATGGGATTGGAAAGACTTTTTCTTTGCCCCCCAGAAGTTGTGGAGGTTGGGAGCTCCTCGAGGTTACATGCTTGAGTGCCTTCTTGCAGGCCTAGCATAAGAGTGAGGACTTCCCACGAGGTGCCAGCCCCGAGGAACTGGGCCAGGAAGGAGGGAGGTGGGCAGAGGGTGCGGCAGCCCTGTCCTTCGAGGCTTTCCTGTTTGGTCATGAGGATGGCTCTGGGCAGGTGACTTGGCTTCCCTGGGGCCTGGCTGGCTGGCCGGCCGAACAAGGGTTGCTGGCCATACAGGAGTGGAGTCTCTTTGCTCCAAATTCTGAGCCCTACAGATTAAGAGGTCTGCTCATCAATCTCGGCAGATCCTGCCAGTCCCTCAGGAAAAGAGGAAGAGTTGGTGGTGTTCTTTTCATTTTGGAAAACTGAGGCACAGAGGAGGCACATTGCTGCTAGAAGCTCACCAGGCCCATGGTTCTTGGGAGTGCCCCCTCCTCTGGCAGGGAGACTTGTCCATGGTGAGTCCTTGTGTGCTGAGTCAAGGTGAAGACAGTGGCAGAGCTGGAGGCTGGCAGGCTGGAGCTGAGGGTGGACTTCCCCCTCATCTG